TTGTACTACAAACGAACTAAGTACTTGCTTGGCTGAATCCATGGCTTTAATATACAAGGTTATTGCACATAGGCCTATATTGTTATAAAACCAATTAAAATGGCAGCTAGAGTAAGGGTGTAGTTCAAGTATAATCGTATAAGTCGTCTCCTTACGCTGCAATTTTAATTCCATAACGTGATAAGTGAGGGTACTATTGCTATAACCTAGTATATTTAAGCCATGGCTGAATCATAAAACTTTTTCCCCATAATAATTATATGCCCATATTAGAAAAATTTAGTTTCGATTATTATTATAATTTCAAAAGAATCATCAGTTACATACTAACAGAAGTGGCTTACTTGGGGCACAAATGTCGTTTTTTATTATTGTCGCTATTACCTCTTTTGTTATCACTTTAAGATAATTTTTGAATCGAATAATTAATCAACACAATATTTTTTGCAAAGTCCAGAACACATCAAAGTCGTAAGTTTAAGGGATCTTAACAATATATTCATATTTAAAAAGTAGATCTTTACTAACAGCTTTAACAGCATAAAACCAACCGCGATTTACTCATGTAATAATTGACTTGACGTCGTAAATATTGTTAAGAAACATATTTATTCTCTACATCTTTATAAGAGATGAAAAAAAAAATCATCATCGCATGTCAAATATTTTTGAAGTTATCTATGTTTGTCTTAAGCTTAACTTGGGACACCATCTTTTTAATTCATCAGTTTTTTTATCCAATATAATTATGTTTCTTATCATAGGGTAGTAGATGTACATAGTGTAATTTTTTTAATTTGACTTTATATTACCTAACCTAGGTACTTGTTTTAAGTTGAATATTCAAAATTACAATTTAGAAAATCGCATTTTTAGTTGTATATCGATTAATCTATTTACCAAATACATAGTTATAAATTATATACAATTTTAATGACACATTTCTATGTTAAATGTTGTAAGGAAACATTTTTTTTTATGTATTTTGCCCCAAGATAGACACAATAGGCTCAAAATGAGTTAGTTTGTTTCAGCAAAATTAAATAAGTGCCCTAAGATACGCTCTTTCAAATATAACTTGGGTCAGCCACAAAAAAAAAAAAATATATATAAAATCAGGAATTAAGTATACAAGTTTAAATTAAAATCCATATTAAAGTATAAACTAAAAGACAACTTTTGATATGCTTATACTGGCCCCATACAATAATTATTAACTGAGATATACACTGTCAAAGTTCAAAACTGCACCAAATAAGCTACTTCTACCTATTATGTACTAAGTAATCTCAATTATGTCGCATAAGAATGTGAAGATATAGGTACTTTATATTTATTTAATCAATACGTTGTACAGGTACAACTGGTGTGGTGTTGAATACACAAATTCATGTTATAATTGTATACCTACTATCGTAGTGACCGTGTGAGATGATTAACTCAAAATTCTTCGAACAGTCGGGCGCAGGTGTGAGCTAAAAATAAAAAATGAGGTACTTTTTATAAGAGACGCGTCGCGCGTGTGCAACACTCCTGGGACGCGTTTCATTGACGGGGAAACGACAGTGGCGCCAAGGCTGTTCTGTGCCGCCGTTGCCGCCGCTAGTGGGCGGATAAGACTATTTGGGCGCTGTTCTGTCGTCCCACGCAATGTTTTTGCATTTTCGCTCGGTCTCTGCGCGTCTTACGTCTTAGCACCGGGGCACCGTCGTAGCCGCCGTGCGTTCACCGGAAGTCGTCGACCGTGATAATTATTATTACCTGCGGTGTACCTACGTGTATGATAATGGTGTTATACGAACGTGTTTCGACGACGACGGTATTTAAATATTACATTATAATATAATATAATCGTCATTACCGGAAGTTCGGTGGGGTTCAGCGGTGATGAGGTGGAGTAGGTGGTTTCGTCGTCATCGTCGCCGCCGCTTTTCGGCGCGTGCTGTAAATGTTATACCTACGAAGCGCGCGCGCGATTAAAATATTATTATTACGCAACGGCTGCAACACCTATCGCGCGTTTCATTCATAATAATATAATAAAATACTACGCTGTCCGGAAACGAACGCGGCCTACGACCGACAACGACGCGCTGCCGTGCCCACTATGACCTACTCTCAATATGTTAGCTCGCATTATAGTCTTGTGTATCACGAACGTTTTCCAGTATTTAATAATATGTATGCACTTCGTACTTTACGGGTGATGCAGATGTCGACCAACGGTGATCACGCGAGTTTTTGAAAGTTTTGTTTTTTTCCAGACCTTCGCAGTAAAATCCTGCCTTGCTTAAACTCAAGTTTTATTAATCCGTTTTATTTATCATCGGGCTTGATTTTGAAAACAAAATAACGATTAGAATAAAGTCTTAATGGGTGGGACTAACGGGATGTCGTGGCATGATTTGTTTTCAAAGCTTATAATATTATTACTATAAAAGCATATATGTGGATGTGTAAAATGAATGGGTGTTTGATGTTATTTCCCATGGATAATACAGTTTTTAAGAGGTATTCAGTGTTGACTTCTATTGTATGAGTATGACGTAATTTCTAAGCACCTCGATAACATTTTGTTTAGCTTGAGCATTAGAACTACGTTATTGAATCTCAAACTTTTTTACGTGTGCCAATAATCTGTTTTATTTTAATACTTTCCATACAAATTGTTTGAACGTCAAGTCAAGACTTATATCGTTACAATTATTATGCATGGTGTATATTACCTATAGAGGTGCAGGAATATTGATTATAATAAAATAGTAGAGAAAAATTCGATAACCACAGACTAATATACCTTCTGCCCACGGTTATTATATTTATTATATACATATTTTTTTATTAACGGGGCTTTCTGAATGTAAATTTTATACTATTTTTTTTGGGAATAATTATTTATAAATCATACATAACAGACTCTTACATTACGTATAGCCTATAGTTTTATGAATAAGTAACCTGCGACCTTCATTTCTGTCTTATTTGCTTTCAATGTTTTCGAATTTGTCCATTCATCGATTGGAATGGTACAATAGCGTATAGATATCATGATGTCTAATGGATTTTCAATGCATAGCGTGATTTAAGTGCATTTATGACCGCAGTAGTGGATTATAATTTACTATTTAGATGTAACAAAGTTAATAATATTTTGAATTTATGGTATAATGTTCATTGATTTTTTCCCCACTGTCTGAATGATGTGCAAATGTTGTTCAGTTAATGTTTTTGTAAAAACGTCAAAAGACAAATGTTATGTAATTTGTTACAAACTATGGAAAATGCTTAAATTGTATATAGAGTGAAATAGTTTTACATATATGATATTATGATCATGTATTAATGTAAATCTAGTATCTATGTCTCAATATCCTAGTAGATAACACTATAATAGTGGTGTCGATAGAAAGAGTGTTATATTAAGTTATATTACTCTGATCATGAAACCGTTAGTTCAGTGTTTGATCACCAGATAGCAGCTCATGTTCTACGTTTTATATTTTTTATAAGCTGACATTGTAAACTACCTAGTACCTTCAATACATTTTTACAATTCCAAAATAAACACAAAAACGTTCATGGATAGTTAAAAGTTAAAAGTTGTATATTGAATAATGGTTTGACTTATCCATACGGTATTTTAAAACTTCGCCAAATATGTTTTTATTTTTTAAATAAACTAAAAAGAAATAGGTATTGCCGTATTGGTACTCAATTATAAAAAAACGTAATATTTTAAATATATTGTTGTCAGTGAGATTCTATTTAAAAAAAATACAATTTCATTATTTATATTACTTCTTAATCTGTGTTAACAGACAGTAATTAATAGTGGTACCTTATTATTTTTATTCATGTCTACCGTATCATTAACAACTGATAATAAATTGTTCAAAAAAATTAAAATCCGGAATTCTAATCAGCTGTAAATTAATATTTCAAATTGTTCAATAACACTAATTAAATACATTTATAAAAGTATAATTAAATTGAAAGACATAATCAGCAAAAAAAGTTTTCACTGGAACATAATAATATATAGCTGTGAAGTTAACCTCTTTTTACCAAACACAATTGTTTATATGAAGTGATAATATTTTTTTTTAATGTATATGAATGGTGAGGGGATAACAATAAGACACGTGAACGCTTTAAATCCACAGCCCATGTGTGATTAGTAACAAACTGAGTTTTTCACACATATCACCTCATATAATGCATGCTGCAGACACTTGCAAAGAGATATCCGATCTTCGAGAAATCGAGACGATAATATTTTTATAAAGTAAAGCAGCAAAAAATGGAAACTTTCGATACGGTTTGTTGTCCTCCTATAATAATACTTATATATTATATATAATTATTATTAAATATAGGTACATGGAAAGAAAGAGTGTGAGAGAGAGAATAGATACCGATAATGCTGTCGAAGTGTAACATCGGTAAGAACAGAGATAGACAAAGAAAAAGAAACAGAGACGAAGAATAGGCATAAGAAAAGGGAAACATAAATAATGGGTCTGGTTTTTTATTATTATTAATATTTTTTTGGGTGTCGCGGGGGCAGCGCGCGTGTTTTATTATTGTTGTTATTATTATAATAGTCTATACGCGCGGCAACGTATATTACGTTTATAAGAGGAGGGGGCTTGTCGAGCGCGTGCCCTCTGCAGCAAGCCCAGTATTCGAACGGCCGGTAGAGATCTGTCCGCCGCCGCTGCACGGCAGTCTTGTCTCCGGAGCCTCGTACGAGAGACTTGAACGACCGGTGCCGCGCTATTCCAGCCAGTCGGACATCGTACGCCGTTAACGCGCGAGTTCTCACCGCCGCGACTTTGTAGTGTGATGTGTAATAACTTTTACGATCGAACGATCGATTTTGCGTACGTTCAGCGATGAATTTTGACTGTCATTTGCAGTGAATAAGTGTTTTGTTTTCCGCATCAGATATAGACTTTTTTTTTTAAATCGATTTTAATTTATTCTCACACTTCGTGGAAATGGCTGAGTTCGACGCGAACAACAACAGTGCTCTGCCGTTACCGGAAAAAGCGCAAGAAAAATACTCACTACGACCCAGGGCATCTCTGAAACGCGAAGAACCTGACGAGGATCACGAAGACAGTTGGAAACCATCAACTCGCGGTCGGTCCACCAAACGGCGCCAAAAACCTAAGCCCCTCAGCAGGTAAGTCGTATTATATTATTATGTCTACTAAAAATTTTTCCACGACAATTTTGTTTATTCTTTGTGTGCCTGTTCGCGTACATTATTTTTTAGGCTCCGGTTAAGATAACAAATGTTTTTGTGACTAAATTTTAAGATTTATTTTTGCTTTGAAAAATAACATAACTAGTTTTGGCGATAATATAAAGGTACATTATTTTATAGACGATTCGCGTGTAGTTTACCCTGAGTGTAGGAGGAGTTTCCCAAAATAATTTTCTCGGCCTCACCGCAAAAAAGGGATTTTGGTGTAGATAGGTAGTATTTATGAAAATTAAATAAAAACTTGGTTATTTATTATTTTTGATAACTACAGACATTTTTGACTGAAATTTAAAAATAATTATTTATGCTAATTTTTTTTTTACAAATCCGTTAAAATAATAAGTATAAATAATGATTATGTTTGCATTTTTTAGCAGTATCTTAGACGTATTAATACATTTTCAACGAGTCATAAAAATAAATATTTGCATAGAAATATGTTAGCATACTTAGTAGTTAGTAATATTTTTTATGATTTCTATATGAGCGATATCCTGATTTTTTATTAGAAAATCAAATTAATTATTCAAATAAAATTGTCAAGTTACCAAATTCAATTAAGTTTGTGTTAATATATTATAAAAAAAATAATAAAATATAAATATATTTTTTTGTGATAAATTATAATTTCTAACTTCTTTAATTCTTTATTAAATAAAAAATAATAATTTAATTAAGTAGACAATTATATATTATTGTTAAAATATTCCTTACATAACTTTATTTAGTTTGACCTATATCGAAAAAACGAATCGTTAAATACATTAAGACTCACCGCGCCCGAGGGCGGTGTAATATTACGATCGAATAATATACATTTTACAACTGTAGGAGTACCCAAGGTACTAGTACCCGTAATAATGCTTAAATTAGGATTCCCGTAAGATTGCTATCGTTTGCAAATCGATTTAACGTCGTTATTGTGTAGTTACAGAGTTCTTTGTTTAAACTAAAGCCTTCGTAATAATAATAAGGCATTTCCTTCCATTTTTATTATACCTATTTTTTGATGACAAAAATAATAATTATTAATTTTATTCAACAGACTTGATTTAAAAAAAAAAATAACTAATTAATTTATCGAGATTAGGTAATGTGATCTTATAATTTTGGGTTTGCTAGGGTTACGCCCTTGGCATGTTATTTATGGATATTGATTTGAATGAATTCGGGGTGGGCGCATATTTGAACGCAGCAGCGATATGTGTTTAATTTGTTTTTTCTTTACAACCGAATGTTAACGTGGCTAGAAATTCCAAGTCGTATATAAAACCAAAAACACACAAAACACCACTTCGACGCCCTGTCGAAAATAAATATTCGAACATGCTTTGTCACTCGTGTACAATTATTTAAAATAATATGTTGACTTTCGATTTCTGTGAAAAATCCCAAACCACCGATGGTAGGTACTACATTAACACGCTCGTTTTATTTTACTATAGTCATCGTGAATAACATTAGAAAATAAGAACATGTATATTTATGACGATGGTAATTATTAGGATAATCTGACTCGTATAAATTATGTTGATATTTCTCTTTGAAAATGTATGGTACGAATTAAAATAATTTTCATCGAATGTTCAGATTTAAAATAAATTTAAAACCGTTGGGTATCGTAAAAAGTGATATAATAATATACTTAGCAAAAATAAAAAAAAACATTACATACACATACCAACAATTCATCTACAATTATTACTAACCGATAACCAATAATATGTAAATTGCACTAAAAATCTATAATTATTAATTGGTTATGCATATTTTATAATTAAATTTATTCACCAATGGTAATATATATTTTTTATATAATGTACGAACTATGTAGGTTAGTAGATATATAAACTGAATTGAACAAGATGCGCATAAAAACAAAACATACATAATAATATATAATAATTATATATTATATTATATTATTATGTTTATAAAAAAACAATTTAAATAAAACGTGCACATAATCTGAAAAGAAATTTTTCTATTTTTCACATGGGACGGTAAAATAAAAATGTTAATGCGTTTGTGAAATTAATTTTAGTTAATATTTTTTTAAATATAATTACTTAATAAATTAAGTTAGGAATACTGTGCCTCTTGAAAAAAATTATATTTGGGGATCTATTTATTATTATAAAAAATACCTTAATAATAACCTTAATATATAGCATTTAATGTATTTAAAGTACAAAACTAGGTTTGATAATTGAAAATAATTACATGGTCATGTTTAATTTAAGGGCTACCAAATAAATATTATAAATAACGATGTCCCTTACCCCCTCCCCCAACTATAGGAACTTCTAATCAAGCTATACCCAACTGCCGTGCGGTATTACAACTACTTACAAGTGTCGACATAGTAATAATTCGTGAACTGTTCGCAGGTATCGGAGGAAGACGGCCAACGCGCGTGAGAGGAGCCGCATGCGGGAGATCAACGAGGCGTTCGAAGCCCTCCGCCGTGCCGTTCCCCACCTGGCGGTGGAGGCACACAACGAGAAGCTGACCAAGATCACCACGCTCCGGCTGGCCATGAAGTACATTTCAGCTCTCAGCGGACTCTTGACCGCGGCGCCCGGCGCCCAGTCTTCGTCATCGCCGACCACTGCTGCCGAGGCCGCGGCGGCTTCAGCTATAGCCGCGGCCACGACCACCATCTGTGGCGGCAGCATTGGTGGCGGCGGAGGACTCGTCGGGACAGCAGCTATGTCGTCGTCATCGGCCTCGCTGCCGATTACCACCGACCACTTGGCCGCGCTTGGCTGCTGTCTGTCGCCTTCGACGTCCGACGACGTCGACTCGCTGCTCAGCGAGTACGCATCTGACTTACTCTGCGGCGGCGGTGGCGGTAGCGAGTGCTCCTCCGCTGCGTCCACGGTCGGGTTCCTCGCCGATCACCACCATCACCATCATTCGGCCGCGTTCCTGCGTGACTTGCCGGGCGCGGCCGCGGCTTATTCGCTGTCCCCGTCGTCGTGCTCCACGTCGGCCACCGACGTCGTCGGTTTCCCGTCGCCGCTTCTGTCCGCTGACTTCCCGGTGGACGTGGCCGCGGCGTTCATGCCGTTCGCCGACCACCCGCTACCACCAATCGACTTCAACGGTGACCCGTACATGTTCGAAGACAACTTCGCGTGCACCGAGTTTAGCTAGACCTCGCACTGAGTCACGGTCGGGTGTCGTCAAGGTGCCATAATATATTTACTACATACTTACATATTATATGTATTCGGTGTACATTTTTTTCAATATTTTTCTTTGTACGTCTCCCGGGATTTTGCGAGAAAAATGTGTCGAATTTTTTTTCCATCGAAAATATGATATATTTGATGTTTTGACGTATACGACGTTTATATTGTAGCGTCGCTTACTCCCGTCACGGCTGATGTAAATCGACCGTCGATTTAATACGTGTACAAATATTTTCCCTTCGATTTTCTCTCAAATATTTTTTCAACTGTGATATACTGTTCCCTCGTATTACGTGGCGGCGGCCGTCGATTTCGACAACTCCACCCCTCCCATAACCCGCCCATACTTTTGCCAGTAAATCGGTTACCCGCGCTGTAATGACATTGTGTGTGCGTGTGCGCTCCTAAGTAAATTATTCTATTTGTTTTAAATGAAACGTGTACGTCTATTCCATTCGATTAATAATAATAATAATAATAAAAAAAAACCGATCTAACGTTTTTAAATCCGACTGGTGGAACTGGTTATTATTTATTCTATATATATATAGACATATAGCGTATAATATATCTATTTTTCCTTTCGGATCCTTTCCTTGGCTCTCTTGTACATAATATTTTACACTTTATATACGTCCCGGAACCATATAACAATCTCTACGCATATCGTCGTATAATCGCGATTTAAAAAAACCTAAATACTTCTTTTCGATTTGTCATTGTTTTCACGTGCGATGAAAAAAATAATAAGTTAAACGGGTTTATTCGATTAGGTTTTTCGATCGATTTCGCGATAGTCTTGATTATAGATCGTATTTATAAACAGGGGCTCACTGCGGTATACTCGTGATATCTGCGTAATTTTTACAATTGATGATGTATATTGATGACCAATCTGTCCTGGACGAATAAGCAAATCAACTCATCCGACCTCCCGTCGAGACTAAACGAAATAACCGACGTACACGTAGACGTGTTTAAATATTGGCTTAAGATAATATATTTATTTTATTCCAATATATTCTAGGCACACACATATACAATATACACTCAGACTATGAGATCTGACACCTTTTTATTTTTACCATTTGTTATGTGCAGCTTCACGATGACGTGCGCACGTAATATTGTTCTCGCGTCCGCGCGCTCATGTATGGTGTTGCACTTCGATTATTCCCATTTCTCTGAAACTTATTGGATAGTACGCATGCACACTGATTTCCCCATGTGTGCTGTACCCGATAAAAAAACGGGTATTTCGATTTTTTTTCTATTGTATTTTTGTTACCTTTAGCGTTATGACGTCGTTTAGTGTTGTAATTATATGGTATATATATATATATATGTGTTGTAGATAATTTATAAGCATATAATGATATATTTGTACGTTAAGTTTTGTAAATTAAAATAATATTATATACTTGTACATAAAATTGATTTATTATTATCATATTATTATTTTTCAATAAATTATTCGTATTTTTAATATATTATGTGTATAGATTTGTATTTTACGTTACCTATTTGTATATACTAATAAAACCAAGCGCATTGACAAGGAAAGTGTCTATTCTAATTATTATATAATAATAAAGTAAGTACTGTGTTTTGAAGAAAACTGAGAAAATTTCGATCTGTTACGTCAACGTACAATATGACGATGTTATGTAAGACCGGCGTTAGCGACGAAAGACGGGTTAATTAATCGCCACACGGTAAATACCTACATACTACGAGCACGAAACCAACGGGTTATAGGTATACTTCCCCTTCTCTGTTCACCATTAAGCGTGACTGATTAATTATAATACCACGTAAGTTAAACCGTGTAATATAGGTACCTATATTTAACGAAAAATTATTATCTCACCTTTCGCGTGCCATACGTTGAATCATAATAACGAATAACAATGATCGTAGGTAATCGTGTTATATATCTTGTCAACCACCACCCATTTCGCAATCCAGGTTTTGCTCGAAACAGGTGGCCTTTCGCTATTTGCTGAACTGGTAGCATACGTTGAGGGAAAACGAACACTTCCCCACCCCATACGGATTGGTCATAAGCATTACTTATAAGGCGTTTATTACAGTTATTATTATTTAATTATAATAATCTGACCATAGTTTACATTTCACGTCTCATAGTGGTATAATGATATACTATGTGTAAAAATATATTATGTTGAGCCGACTTGGAGAAGTAAATTTGGGCCGCTTGATAGATAACTTAGGACAGTGGGCTGTAACATTTTCAGTCAGTGTGAATATGCGATTAATGAAAGGGTATTTTCTTGTATAGCTATAATCAAACGACTTTGATTAATACACAATATTGTCAACATTTTATTTTATTTTTATAGTTTAGAACTATGTACCTATTATTAGGTAAAAAAGATAGGCACATAAAAAACCTTAACCTGAATACTCCTTTCGAATTTATTTATTTGTGTGGTCATTCTTGTCACTGGATCCAAAGTTTGTTTTTGGAGGGGGCAAAGGCATGTACGGAACTTAATTACAAAATATATCGTTATAGATTTTCTTCCATTTTTTAATGTAATTACGTGTATAATATACATTTTGATGAAATTCTTTAATATTTTTGTATTTTGGGGACTGGGATGATAAATTTATTAGTTATTACCAGTTTTCTTTTGCTTCGTCATTCCATAATGTAATGACAATTAATATGTATGTAATAATTAATTACGATAACATTTGAATTTAGTATAACAACACGTCGATGGTTTTTTATTTAAGTTAAATTGCAACCATTGCAATCAGAATCGAAATTAGTATTCCCCTATAGCGTATAGTGATTGTAGCGTGTATAGGTACCGTGGTTCAATTTTATTCTTAGATATCGATTTTACAGTTGTGTAATATTAATGACAATTATGGAAGTCGCTGACTCTGGTCGCTAGCCCCTCTCCCAGCTCGCGAAACATCGGAAAAAGAGGCGGCGGCGACGGCGGGGGAGAAAGCGTCTGGCGCCGTCGCGCGTATGTGGGTCGGGCCAATAGGCGAGCGCGATGGGCGTCGTTTTACTCGTGGCCACGAGCGACAATCGCTACGGCCAGCCTTGGGGCCGTATAGTATTGAACAATTAATAGCCACAGCCAAAAGATGATCGGCGGAAAAATTACGTTCTCAGACTTGCGTTTGTACTCGATCAAAATGTATACATACGTATTATAGGCATATTATATATTACTATATAAAAAATATAAGTGAAGGTTGAATGTAAGTTTAAGTAGATTGAGCTTTGATTATTGTGTGTGTAGTATCAATACAACTAATTTCGTGTAATACTAATAAAATACCTTCACACATATGTGTGGTAGGTAAACAAATACTCAACCGTTTAACGAAATCAACGGTAATTTTGCGGAGCACTACATTATATTATTATCGATTTACTTTCAATTTACTCAGCTCACTAGCTTTTTCTTCAATTGAAATACGTTGTTTTATATAATTTTCAATCGATAAAAAAACAGTTAGAAATTATAGAATTTACTTAAACGTTATGTTAATTTTGGTTTGTTACGGATTACGTGTAATACAAAAACTTACTTGGTATGTTTTAAATAGATCGCTACCTAGTGATTTATACGTCTTACAGTATATTTATGGCTGCTTCTGTTGAATTTTTCCCCTTTTAAAATGGAACTATGGTCTATGAGAACTAAATAAATTCAGGCTGGGTGAATACAATTTCCTTCAGACCACCCAATCATTTTTTTCAAATATACAAATAAATTAATACAACTACTAAACCTCGTAATGTCCGAATGCCGTTTTAAAGAAATAGTGCGCTGATACTTGTTTTTAACAAATGTATAACATAGTAAATCTGCACTCAGTTCTATCTTGTGTTGTTGGATTTAATATTTTGGTGTATTGACCTAATAATAATCTTATAAAGTTATGACTTATGAACATCACCTGTTTTACTGTATGAATTTTTACGATATTTTATTTGTAATATTTTACATTTTCATAATTAGCATACACATTTTCACGTATGTTACACAGATGTAATAAATTATATTCTAAAAAAAAAATATAGACTTTATGATAATAATGTAGTATTCAATAATATATATTAATATATTATTATAATGACTATACGGCACACGCTGTTACAATTCGTAAATATGTACTAGGTACTCATTTCAATTTTCTTATTGGGCACTTGCCACTTAGAATAGGGACTGGCTGGCATATAGACCTATAAACTAAACGTATGGATGAAGAAACTTAATGTAAATGGTGCTCCATGATATTCCCAAACGCATAGTTCTTTCTTTCTCGGGCCGTCGTCCACTGGTTTCTCTATCTCTCTCTAAGCACTGTCCATTAGTTTGTAGATCTATCCTGGCTGGTACCGATGCAAATATATAATATGTAAATTGTTATCTGGCTGGTGATAACTTAAGTCAAGATACAGCGATTAACATTTAGATTTGGTGCGGACGAGATATTAATTATAAAGGCATGGCCGGGTAATTGATGTGTTGGTTTTCGTCTCAATTTTATTCCCTATGACGTATGATTAGTTCAGAGGTAAATTAGTACCTGTAACGAACAATAATTAGATCCTATTACTATCAATAAAAATGCATATTATGGTTCGACGGTTCGAGCCGGTAAGTTTCAAATATAGGCACCGAACACGATTACTAGGTATTCATTGTACCATAGGCCTCCTATTATATTATATGTATTATTATATACTATTTGTTGATAGTAGGTATTTAACAATATTTGACCGTTGTTACTGGTGCACGGAAATCGGCAAGTCTATGCTGAGACTAAGTTTATGAATTGCTAACCTACATGATGATTTATGAATAAATTATAAATTTGGTATCTGCCGAAATCGGTAAACAAAATAATAAATAAAATCTTTCAAATATTACGTTCGTGTAATGGACTTTTCTTTATGATTAAATT